GTTGTGTATGTTTTCCCCTTCAAAACTTCTGGTGCAACATATGGTAGCACTCCAAATATATCATTTTTGTTTGATGATGATGTTTGACTAGCTGGGCATGATAATCCTAAGTCTGCAATATATGAAGCAATATGAAATTGAAGAATATTACCACTATGAAGATCACGATGAATAATTTCTTCTTTATGAATATCTTTTAAACCAAAAATAATATCTTGAAGAATTTTAATTTTGTCTTCCCATTTTAAATTTTTAAAATTTTCTGTTAAATAATTTTGAAGACCTCCACTTTCCATATGTTGCATTACAAATATATATTCTTTTGTAATTGGATCTTGTGTTAATCCATAAATATGGATTATTTCTACTTTATCATGAAACTTCATATAATTTTTGAACTAAAATAACAAATAATATACTTAATCACAACAATAAGAGTCAAAAAAATCTGAAACTAGTATTAATAAAATAATTTACCTCATTAAGAAATTCATCAGAAATATTCTGTGAATTGTGTAGTTTTTTTAATGCCACAATTCTATCTATACTGTATCTTCTTTTATTTTCAGCATATTTACTACCATTTAACCAAGTGGCTTTATATATAGTTGCAAAACCACCTTCACCTATCTTTTCAATATTTGTTATATCATTATAAGGAATCCATTGAAGATAATAATGATTACTATATTCAGTTGCTTTAAGCTGTGTACTTTTTTAATCAACTCATCTAATGTTTCATTACCACTAGTCCATCCTTCAGTTAATAATTTTGGATCACATGATTGACACCATGCCTGATTAGTATTGTATCCATTGCAAATTGGACATTCCCCATAATCTTTGTTTCTTTCTAATAAATTATAAATTTTAAAATTAAATAAAATGAAAATAATCAATAGTTAAATGTTAATAATTACCATTATAAAATTTCACAGGTTGGGAAAGACTTGTAAATTCAAATTTTATTTTATACATTTTATCAAACTCTTTTCTAATTGATTCTAATTCATCCTGCTGTTCTTTTGAATATCCACTCAAATTATTTATTACAAATGAATCATCCCAAAATTTAATAATTTCATGGACTTCACTAGCAGATGGACGTTGATCTGGGTCAGTATCCATGCATTTTAATGCTAGTTCAATATAGAATTTTGGTGTGTTGTTTGAGAATCCAGGTCTTTCACCTTCACATATTTTCATTGCAAGAATAATATCATGTGCCAAATCATCAAATGGTTGTTGGCCAGTTGATAATACAGACATCAGAACCCCAAAACTGTATACATCTAATGCCATTGTATATGATTTCCCCCTTAAAAATTCTGGTGGCATATATGGTATTACTACATATGTATTTTTTTTGTTTGATGTTTGACTAGCTGGACATGATAATTCTAAGCCTGTAATGTATGACTTAAACATATTTTCTTTAGATTGAAGAAGAATGCTGCCACTACGAAGGCTATGATGAATAATTCCTTTTTCATGAATACCTTTTAAACCAAAAATAATATTTTGAAGAATTTTAATTTTGTCTTCCCATTTTAAATTTTTAAAATTTTTTGTTAAATAATTTTGAAGACTTCCATCTTCCATATGTTGTATTACAAATATATATTCTTTTGTAATTGGATCTTGTGTTAATCCATAAAGATGAATTATTTCTACTTTATCATGAAACTTTATATAATTTTTGAACTAAATAACAAATAATATACTTAATTGCAACAATAAGAAAAAAAAATCTGAAGATAAATAGAAAAATAAAATAATTTACCTCATTAAGAAATCCATCAGAAATGTTCCGTGAATTGCGTATTTTTTTTAATGCCACAATTCTATCTCTACTGTATCTTTTATTTTCAGCATCAGCATATTTATCACCATTTAACCAAGTAGCTTTGTATCTAATTGCAAAAAGACTTTCACCTGTCTCTTCAATATTTGTTAAATCATTGTAAGAAACCCATTGAAGATAAGATTCATTACTATACTTGGTTGATTTAAGCTGTGTGCTTTTAATCAACACATCTAATGTTTCATTACCACTAGTCCATCCTTCAGTTAATAACTTTGGATCACATGATTGACACCATGCCTGATTAGTATTATATCTATTGCAGGTTGGACATTCCCCATAACGTCCTTCTCTAATATATGAATAATATGAATATTCATCATCATTTTTGTGAGTGGAAGTATCATCAGGATGTCTATTTTCATTTAAAGCATTTTCCATTTTTAAAAATTTATTATAAAAAATTCTTTTCTAAAAAATGTTTTTTTTAGCCACAAATGTACAGTATATCACATGAACATAAAATAATAAATTTTTTACAGCCGAGACATAATAAACAAATATTATTACAGTCTGACAAATTAAAAATATTTGTCACGGCGGATTTTATTAATAAACTTGCATCACAGTGTTAACAATTTTTGATGGTGATCTCTCTATATATCTACTACAGCAAATTTAAGATTATATAAAATTATCCAAATTACTAAAGTTGATAAACAAAAAATTTTTTTTTCCACGATTAATAATACTATTATTTATTATTCATGGATTTAATAATAATAAGTAATCATAAAAAAAAGATACAAGAATCTTTTAATGGAACAGAATCACATTTGGAAATTAGAAATAAGGTAGAAAATTTGATAGATAAAACAGCTGTACTTGAAAGAGATGATGAAAAGGATGAAAAAAAACAGGAATAGTTTATCTGAACCCAATTATGTATGTTTGGTTTTAATTCATTGATTATTGATAATCAAAATAAAAACATTTATTTACCTAAGCACTGACCATTTTTTAACTCCACATATGTTTGTTTCCATAAGTGTTAATTTATTTTAACACTGGGATAGAAATTGCCATTTTAAGGTTTAGGGCTGGCATCTTCCTCCCTTTAAACCTTTGCTACTCCAATATTTTGTATTAGTTTTCATATAAAGATATAATTATCAAATAGAGATTGCTATTACAGGCAACTTTGCCACCACTGCCATGTATATTATATTTTTATTATTGAGTGATTATCTCGTGACATGTAAATGACAAATGTACATACTCCTCAAACTAAATCTTCTTGATCAAAATATTATTGTACAATTATGCAAAGGCTATAGACTCATCAAAAGCTTTAACTACTATTGCTTAATACTAACAATGAATAGCAACAATAGAAAGTAAACCAGAGTGATATCATTGTGTGAATGGAAATCATGCATGGTCTTGTAATTTAATTACTCAAAAAAATAGTTGCTTCATAGCAACAAACATGACTTTTGCATACCTAGCCAACATAAAAAAAAAATGAGTATTTGGATTGAGAATTAGGACATTTATTTAGCTTGATTTTTTAAATAAAAAAAATTGATGTTGATCATTTAAAGAATTGCAATTAATGTTTGCCTTTTTGTATTGTTCTCATGCTTCCCAAAAAAATTCAGTCTACTAACAAAGCTCTTTTTGCAGTTTGTTATAATTGCAATTATTTACAATCGTAATAACAGCAACTTGCAATTTGCATAACAATTACAATTACAATTATGCAAAAATTAATTGCAGAACAAGGAAAACAAGACAGCGGCAAAACAACCATTTACGAACGGATTGTTAAATTGCAAACTGACGCAGGAATTACTAGTGAAGACTTACAAAAACTTTTAGAAGCATAAATTACTCCTTTTTAAGAAATCAAATGGCAAGAATCTTCACGATCAACTCGAAATCTTAAAATGAAAATAAAAGTTGGGTGTAAGCATGTTAGCCGAAATTGCCTCTCTTAATAAATGATCATCACTGAATCCGAAATGCCAAAATAGTTGCCGAAATCAATTTTATTACTTGTCAAAATTATATCTCGAATTATTTGAATACTTTAACTCAATACTGAAATTCTGGGTAGTTTTTTTATGTCTATTGATATAAAGAATATTGTAAATCCAAAATTGCTTGCCAAAACTAATTTTTTCAAAAACAATTTCGGCCAACATCCTTAGTTGGGTGGTACCATTTTCATTCATTGTGTTTAAAATAATATTCACACTAGGTTTTTTCATAATTGTCCAGATTCATACCGATGTCTATCTCTTTGAGAACGTATCTGATTTCTTTGGTATTAGCCTCGCCCGTATTCCCATTCTCTTTATATTATCGCATTTTCATAAACGAAGGAATTCCCATTAATTTTTGATGTGAGAGATTCAAGTCTCTCGTTTAATCCATAATTTGATCTTCTGCAACCCTCCTCTTCAAGTATATAAGCATGTACTTACCTCCATTAAGTTCCTTGACAGTTACTTCTTTGTAAAATTCAGAAGAAAGGTCATAACAAAATTCTACGGGATCTTGGAGGTATAAAAATAATTGATTTTTTTATCGTTATCAATAATGCATAATCAATCTGCAACATGGAAGCTCATGGAAATTTTGCATTTGTGTGTGACAGCCCGGTTAATTTGATTACAAACTCATGTTACATAGATAACCCCTTAATATTAATATTCACAAATAAAATTACTATATATATATATATATACTAATCATTTTTTTCAAAACAAAACAAATGTCTAATACTGATGATTTTCCAACATTAAAAGAAATTAAAAAGTTAAATGTTGAAAAACTTGTGGAATTTTTACGAAGCCAAAAGGATTTACACCTTGAAGAGGATGAATTGAATATAATATTACAAAAAAAGGTCACTGGTTGTGCCTTTATTACATTGACTGAAAGCAAGCTGGAAAATTGGGGAATTCAAAGCGGATCGGCCTTAGCAATCGTAGATTTCGCAAAGATGGTGAATACCTTTCAAACCTGTACTGCTTTTTTCATTCATTGTTTTATTGATGTTTCCTCATTGACTACTATTTCTATTATGCAGAGCCTCTTAGAAAGCGAAGAAAGATTTGATGTGAAATTGATTGTGCTGAAGACACGCAAGTTTAGTATTTCTATTTCTATCTGGTTATATTTCTTGGCATCACACAATATACCTACGTCTGTATGAACCCACCCATTTATATGGACCCCTGCAGCCGATGTTTGGAAAGAGGGCCTTGAATGCCTACTAGGACCCGTTAAAACTTATGCTTTAACCCTCTTAGATAGATTCGTTTGACATACTCTTTTCCAGTATATTGGACATTATGGGTTCCTACGTCTGTACGAACCCACCCATTCATATGGACCCCTGCAGCCGATGTTTGGAAAGAGGGCCTTGCACGCCTACTAAGATCCATTGCAATTTATATTGTGATCCTCCTAGATAGATTCATGTGACATACTCTTTTCCAGAACTCTATTTTGTCAATGCCATTTTTGCGTTTTCTTGTATTTATATTATCATATTTTTTTAGTAATTAAATTATTCTAATAGCTTTTTTTATTATATAGATGAGCATATCAATTGCAATCGCTTCTTATTTCAATAGAGAGAATATCGATAAATGGTCTCATTTCGATTGCCTCAAATATTTGGCAAAAGTATGTGCAAATTTTACTTCAGAAGACCGTGATGAAATAATTGACATGTACAAGAATCAGTTGCGTTCGATAAACTCATGTGAGACAAGGCTCAAAAAAGCAAGGTCAAAAGCTTATAAGCTGGCTGAGAATGTAGAGCGTTCATTTCAACGTGAAGAAGTTACCTCATTTTTTGAAAGGTTGGATACACAGGTACGTTGGTCGTCATTTTTGTTTTGTTTTTATATATATACTCAGGGTTGTGAAATTTCGCTGTACGAGAAGAATCTTCGTACGTACGTACGTACGTACATACGTACGACTGACTTCGTACCATTGAGTTAGTACAGTTTCGTTGCGGCCGTACACCTGTACGAGGAAATTTTACATATGTACGTACGTACGAATGTACGAATGTACGATTTATCAGAAACGATTATTTTCTGCAGTGATAAAATATTACACCGTAAAATCTTATAACAATATCATTACAATTAACGGATTACTATTACCAGATGTTGTAACACTTGATTATCAAACTGATTGTTGTATTCTGTGGTACGTTATTATTATTATTATAGTAATAGTATAAGTATATTCCATGATTTTTATATATTTTTTTTTAAGAGTATATAATGAATAATAAAAAAATTACACATTCGTTAATTGTTATCAATTGTTGAAAACATAACCATATCTTTCAAGTGTATACAGTCATTAATTCCACAATTCTTTTATTCCAATGGTTAAAGCTTTGAAAAATTACATTGTTGAAACAAAACAAAAAAGTGGTTCTAGTAACAAATTATGTTACTGCAAAGCTTGCTTTATTAAACTTGGTGAAAACAGCAATGAATTAAAAACAATAGTAGATAAAACTGAACGTATAATTCAACATTTTAATGATTGTCAAAATTTTCATGTTGTGTATAGCCAAGAAGAAAAACTTAAAATACTAGCTCTTGGTAATAGTAATAATAATGATAATAATAACAATACAATAAAAAGAAAAAGTAAATTAATTTATTTAATTAATAATTTAATTAATTAATAATTTATTTTATCTAATTAATAATTTATTTAATTAATAATTTATTAATTAACAATTTATTTATTATTACATGAATTAATTTCTTTTCTATTAGGATCAAATTCTACTTCGTCTCAATCATCTAATTATGGTCCTTTAGATAATTTTGTTGCCAGACCTTTATCTAAAGCAGATAATGAAGTTTTTCATAAACTTATATTAAAAGCCACTATTTCTTGTGGTTTTCCATTATCTTGGGTGAATAATCAAGAAACAACAGAATTATTTAAATTTCTCAACCCACATATCAAACTACCAGATAGAAAAACCCTTTCCACTAAACTATTGAATGATGCAGTTAAAGAATATGATAATGTCATGTTAGAAAAATTAAGATTAGATCAAATAGGTGTCACACTTATGTTTGATGGATGGACGAATGTTAGGCAACAAGAATTAATGGGATGTGTTCTTTTGATGTCAGATGGAGAACCATGTGTATGGCAAGCTATGGATATCAGTAGTGAACGTGATACAATGTTTGAAGTTATGACTAAAACTGAAGAATTAATTTCCAAATTAATAGATATGAAAATAACATTGTTATCAATAGTAACTGATAGTGCACCTTCCTATAATGCATCAAGGCAAGTGCATATTAATTTTTTCTCATTGCCTCAAACTATCATTGAATATTTTATTGATTTATAATATAAATCTTTAATTATTAGGGCAAGATTACGACTTAAACATAGAAATATTGTTTTTTTACCATGTTTTGCCCATCAGGTGAATTTGTGTGTAGGGGAAATTTTTAAAATTTCATCTGAGTTCAAAAATACATCAGGCAATGCCTTAAAAGTGTCAGCCTATTTTAAAGATGCTAGACATAAATATTTCATTGGCCAACTTCGTGATATTCAAAAAGAACTTTATAGCAAATATATTCAACTTGCACTTCCATGTAATACCAGGTGGAACAGTCAACATAATTGCTTTAAAAGTTTAATTGCTACTAAAAATGCTTTACGTGTAAGTTATTCTATTTATTTTTACAATCTTTCAAAATAGTAGTTTTGATTCAAATAAAATAATTGACAATTATTTTTTACATAGTCTTTGGCAATAAAATTTGATCCTTCTTCATCAACGAATACATTGAAAATTTCACATGAAATGTATTGTATTATAATGAATGAATCTTTTTGGGACGAACTTTTAAAATTGGATCAAATTTTGATTCCTTATTGCAATATTTTGAATAAACTACAAAGTGACAAGGCAAGATTATATGAAGTTTTACATTGTTATGCATATTTGTATCAATTTTGGAAAAGTTATTCTGATGAACTCTTGGCCAGTAGAATATTATCAAGATTGGAAAATAGATGGAGTTTATGGGAACAACCTCTTCTCATTCTTTCTTGGCTTCTTCATCCTGTTTACAAATCAAACTATTTCACTTCTGCTTCTATATCAAAAATAAGTTATTTACACATGGGGAAGTGGCTTGTTTATTATTATAAAGCATGGACTGGAAAAGAACCTAAAACTATTCTTAATGAATTTTATGATTTTTCACAAGGAAGAAAATATCCTTTTGATAATGCCTCCATTGATCAGTTTGAAAATAATATTCACAAATATTGGTGCTGGGTTCAGGATGCCTATCCAGAAATTGGAATTGTTGCAGCACATATTTTTGGTATTTGTATTAATGCAGCTTCAGTAGAACGACTGTGGAGTAGTATGGGATTTTTTCATTCAAAAAATCGAAATAGATTGGAGGTAAAAATATAGTTTTATTTACATTAATATAGTAAATTATTTTCTTTTTAAAATTTGACTATTTCTTTTACTATATGTAGTTCACTAGAGTCTTAGAAATGGCAAAATTGAAGGCTGGCATTACATATAATCGACTTCTTCAACAAGAACTTTCTTTATCAAATAAAGAAATAAATTTAGAAGAACAGAATAGCATTGAAAGAGAAATGATATTGGAAGCCGAATCTTCAAATGTAAATACTAACTTAAATGAAGAAAGTTATTTGGGTGGACAAAATGATGAACAGGATAATAATAGTTTAGAAGCAGATGTAATTGCACAGTTTAATAATAATTTGGGTGAGTGGATAGAAATTCTTCAAGAAGAAGAAAATGAATCTCTAAATGAGCTTATAAACATTGAAGATGATGAATTTTATAACTTAGATGTTCAAAGTATTGATCATCCAGCAACAAGCTCCGATGGGAAATGGAAATTGGAAGTTATATTAAAAAACGATATACATTGTCCTTTTTAATTTTCAATTTATGAATTTTTTTTTTGACGATATATATATATATTACAGGAGGGAACGTACTGGGAACACAAAATTAACAGGAGGGAACACAAAAATTTAACCCATGCAATTTTGTTGAT